CTGCCTCGTGGGCCCCCTGATGCTCCACCGACCTCAACTCCAACTCTATATATTCACGTTAGAGGAGAAAAAAAATCAGAAAGAAGGATTCACCGCGTTTTACGATACAGAGCCGCCGCCAAGCCCTAATCTCTCTCGGGAGGGCTGATCTGGAGTCCGTTTGGGGCTCCGGAGAGGGGAATCCGTCGTCATCATCATCATCAACCTTCCTCCATCACCAATTTGATGACGTTCACCGCCGTGCGTGAGTAATTCTATCGTAAGCTTGCTGTACAGTGATGGGTTGGATGAGATTTATCATGTAATCTGAGTTAGTTTTGTTAGGGTTTGATCCCTAGTATCCATTATGTTCTGATTTTGATGTTGCTATGACTTTGCTATGCTTAATGCTTGTCACTAGGGCCCGAGTGCCATGATTTCAGATCTGAACCTATTAAGTTTTCATGAATATATGTGAGTTCTTGATCCTATCTTGCAAGTCAATAGTCACCTATTATGTGTTATGATCCATTAACCCCGAAGTGACAATAATCGGGATACTTACCGGTGATGACCGTAGTTTGAGGAGTTCATGTATTCACTAAGTGTTAATGCTTTGGTCCGGTACTCTATTAAAAGGAGGCCTTAATATCCCTTAGTTTCCAATAGGACCCCGCTGCCACGGGAGGGTAGGACAAAAGATGTCATGCAAGTTCTTTTCCATAAGCACGTATGACTATATTCGGAATACATGCCTACATTACATTGATGAACTGGAACTAGTTCTATGTCACCCTATGTTATAACTGTTGTATGAGGAATCGCATCCGACATAATTATCCATCATTGATCCATTGCCTACGAGCTTTTCACATATTGATCTTCGCTTATTTACTTTTCCGTTGCAACTGCTACAATCACTACAAAACTTCTACTGTTACCTTTGCCACCATTACCGTTACTTCCATACTACTTTGCTACTAAATACTTTGCTGCAGATATTAAGTTTTTTAGGTGTGGTTGAATTGACAACTCAACTGCTAATACTTGAAAATATTCTTTGGCTCCCCTTGTGTCGAATCAATAAACTTGGGTTGAATACTCTACCCTCGAAAACTGTTGCGACCCCCTATACTTACGGGTTATCACCGCCGCAAGTTTCAGAACCACGAGATCCAATCTAAACACCATCACGGAGGGGTTCTTCATCCTCATTGGTGCCTCTCCGATGATGCATGAGTAGTTCACCATAGACCTATGGGTCCGTAGGCAGTAGCTAGATGGCTTCCTCTCTCTCTCTCTCCCTCTCTTGATTCTCAATACAATGGTCTCTTGGAGATCTATTTGATGTAACTCTTTTTGCGGTGTGTTTGTTAGGATCCGATGAACTTTGAGTTTATGATCAGATCTATATCCATGAATATTATTTGAGTTTTCTTTGATCTCTTATATGCATGATTATTTATAGCCTCATATTTCTTTTTCGAATCTTTGGTTTAATTAGGCCAACTAGATCATTTTTTTGCCATGGGAAGAGGTGCTTTGTGATGGGTTCGATCTTGCGTTTTCCCAATGATAGAAGGGGCAGCAAGACATGCATGTATCATTGCTATTAAGGATAAAAAGATGGGGGCTATTCCTACATGAATACATCTCGTCTACATCATGTCATCGTTCTTATTGCATTACTCTGTTGCTCCATGAACTTAATACACTAGATGCATGCTGGATAGCGGTCGATGTGTGGAGTAATAGTAGTAGATGCAGGCAGGAGTCGGTCTACTAATCTTGGAAGTGATGCTTATATATTGATCATTGCCTTGGATATCGTCATAACTATTCGATTTTTTATCAATTGCCCGACAGTAATTTGTTTACCCACCGTGTGCTATTTCTTGAGAGAAGCCACTAGTGAAATCTACAACCTCCGGGTCTATTCTTTATCATATTTGCTTTCCGATCTATTATTTTCCTTTGAGATCTATTTTTATTTGCTTTTATTTTCAGATCAGTTATTCCAAAAACCCAAAATACTTTGCTGCACTTTTTATTTACATATTTTATTTCGCATTTTATCGAGATCTATTTATCCAATCTACCACAATTTTACCCCGTCAACTTGACAATTTCTAGTGTCGTTACCCGAAGAGGGATTGACAACCCCGGCCCTCATACGCGTTGGGTTGCAAGTATTTGTTCTTTGTGCCCTGGTACCGTTTACGTAGTGTTGCTTGGTTCACCTACTGGATTTATACCTTGATTTCATAACCGAGGGAAATACCTACCGTAGCCGTACTACATCATCCCTTCCTCTTTGGGGAAATACCGACACAGTTTCAGGCGACATCACCCAACAGCTCTATGAAAGGCTCAAGTTCATCACCATCCATATTAATGGGAATAAGTTACTTTTATTATAGTTGCTTCTCATGCCAGGAAACCTGATCAAAATAGTTCAGTAGAGTTTTCAAGTTTTGGGCATGGTTGGAATTTTTACCTATAAATAAAATGGTACCATCTGCATATTGGAAGCAAATAATACCCTCGGGACAAACCCCAAGATAAAGCTCTTTAATCAAGTTATGAACAACAGCCTTAGAGAGCATCTTGGTAAGAACATCCACTACTAGGTTAAAAAAGAGGTGAGAGGGGGCCCCCTTGCCTCACGCCCTTCCCAGTTTTAAAGAAATCTCCTTCTACATTGTTAATCTTGACCCCAACTAAACCTCCATGGGTTATTTGGTTAATCCATGGAAGCCATTTGTTACAAAAACCTATAATTCTAAGGAGCTCGACTAGGAAGTCAAAACTTATTTTATCAAAAGCTTTGCCATAGTTTAACTTAAGGATTATCCCATGATTTTTTACTAGAATGGACATAGTGGAGAACTTCGTGGGCAGTGACTACACTCTCTAAAATACACTTTCCTTTAAGGAAGGCAGATTGATTGCTAGCTATTAACTTCACATAATAATAGAGAGTCTATTTGTAAGAATTTTGGTGAAAATCTCAACCTCCTTAGGAATGAGAGTAAGCATAGCAACGTTGAGCCTATAGATGTCTAAATGTTCATTATAGAAATCCTCAAACATAGCTATAAGATTTTTTGATCAATTCCCAAAAAACTGGTAGAATAAAAAAGGGATACCATCCGGGCCAACGTCCCATTAGAATAGGAATCAAAACCATCCTTCTTAATCTCAACTTTAATTAGTAAAGGATGGCTCCAGGTTTTCATTCTCTGAGAGTTGCACCTTCTGTTCGGCTGAAAAGAAATCAACATTCAAGCAAAAATCTGTTAAATTTTGGCAAATTTTATTTCCATTCCAATGCCTTACTTTATTGGTTGTTGGATACATTGAGCCGCCAACGCGCTAATTAAAGATAGTTTAACATGAAATAATGAAGTTTTGGGAAAGCAGGGTCTTACGAGGCCTTGAATGTGCGTTTTGTAAAATGCTAACATGTCTTAGGACAATTTCATATGTAAAATGCTAACGTGGTACAATAATGAAAGAAGGGGGATGAGAGAGTTATATGTTAGTGGAGATACGGTTATTACCTCTTTTCAGTATGCAGTGCAATTAATGCTCATATCCAATATCACCTCTCTCTCTATGCTCCTCTCTTTCCCTTCTCTCCACAATTAGGCCACAATGTTTAGATGCAAACATGATCTCTAAATTGATTAAATGTAGTATCACTTACGTACGACACCTAAGAAACAGTGTATTGGGGTGGTTGTCTCTAAATTCTTTCCACCAAGTAGGATGACATGCTAAGAGCCAATGCATTGAGAGTGCCCTAAACATGGAAGGAGGTTGCCATAAATAGGCAAAGCTTCGCCTATAGAAAATATGCCGCTTAGCAACATCTTTTACCCTTCTATAGTTGCAATTGTCTTGTTTTGATTTTGTTTTACAATACTTTGTCATTATTTATGCTGCATCAACAAGATCCATCTACTTCAGTTTTCATATTCATCATGCCTTGACCCGATTGGGCATAAAATTTGACATGTATTGAAGTTCATGCCCCCTGTGGTAACATCAATTAATCTCGATTGAACAATCCACAAAGTAAATCCAGAGCAAAAGTAGGAGAAAGTCACAATCTTTTGGAGAGAAAAAGCCAAAAGTTCAAAGAATATTAGAGCAGTAGCACCTTGACTGCTTCTCAGTCCAATTATTAATAGATGATAATGCAACCAAATTTGCAAGAAAGTAGGGACCATGCTGCCACTCCTGGTAAGAGCAAGTCCAATAAGGTGACATAAACAGGCTATAAGGAATATAATATTATATCTTTACTTAGTTGGAGGAGAGAGAAGAGAAACGGGTTCTTGGTTAGTAGCCAGCTACAACACGAGATCCAAGACGCTTTGTGAGGATGTAAGGAAGGCCAACTATTAATAAAGTATTATAAATTTAAAACTTACTATTGTACATGCCGACTATGAGATTGACTCTAGATGACACGACAACTCCTTATAGCCGACCATTGGCTGTATTATTAACCATGCTCTAAGTCTCAGCAGTTGTTGCATGGGAGTTTGAAGGCTTGAAGCACTTAAAAAGGGCATTCCTGTATAAATTATAACCGAATCATGTCAGGACAAGCACAAGAGGTAAATTAAACAGGTACCAAGTTTTTCGGGAACAGCCTTCCTTAAAAAGTGACAGCCCAACCAGAGCACATGATACAAAAGCGGCTTAAAGAACAATCACCAACACCAAGGTATGTAGCATTTCTAATTGTTTTTAAGCTCCCCCTTAATTAATTTGGGAGTTTGACATGCCAGTACAGTGTGGCCAGTGAGTGGATCTCGGCGAGGAGACCCTCAGGCCCCTGCCTGTCTATAAATACAAGTGCCTGAGGCCAGTTCTTCTTAGTCTTTGCTTCCATTCTCCTTCACCTGCTCCACCTCCCATATATTTAGCATCAGCACTAGCATCTCCCACCAGGCCATCACTTGCTACTACCTCAGGAAACCCAGCTCATTTGGGTCAACATACAGATCATGAGGTCTTCATTGATGGTCTTGGCTTCTCTTCTCCTCCTCCTGGTTCTGGCTACAACAGCACATGGTATGCTCCATCTCCATGCATGGCTGGCGACCCACTCTTGTCAATTTTGCTCTTGCATTTGGTGGCTCTTTGGGGGTACCCTATATCCTGGATCAGTGCTCACTGGGAACTCCTTTCTCTGGAAATGCAGGGATTCGGCTGGACAAGGACCTGCATGAAGCACTCAGCAACAAGGTCAGTGCCGTGTACTGTATATGATCAATGATCTTGAATTCCTGATCCAGGAAGTTCTCCCTTCCTGAAACTGGAACAATTTTTGGTAAAGTTTTGCTGATTTCCTCTGTGCATCTCTTGTGCATCCAGCAGGAACAACTGGCCGGGCAGCCACCCAAACCCAATGGCGCCGCTGATTCGACCGGCACCAGCAAGCACTGCACGTCCAATGGGAATTGCTCAGGTACAGCAATGGAGCAGACGCCTCATACTGCCATTGTTGTGAAGGATAGAGACCACACCCAAGTGGTGGCTAGTGCGTACGCGCGGTCCGCCGTGCCAAAGTTCCACGAAGATTACTACGGGCCGGGCGGCCATGAACCTAATCACCACTAATCACAGATGCATATCCACCACCTCCCCCCTTTGCAGGCCGCAGCTAGCAGCCCTAATTACCTGGTTCAGCAGTAAAACTGTCGACTTAGTGCTGCGTCCGTCTTGGTTTGGAGCTTGGGTGATGTAAAAGGAGAAGCACTAAGCAGTTCTGCTCCAATTCCCTATGATTAGTACTAGTGCTACTGGTAGCTAATGTTGTGTACGACCTGAAACCCTGAGTTTTTAGCTCTCTGCATCGTCAGTTTGGTTTTCTTTTCACCCGCTACTCTTTTTTTTTCACCGGCTGCTGTTGTGATCCCAAGTTCCCAGCATGTTCCTCTCTTTCTGTGGATGCATTTGCATGCATTGGCATATGTGCGTGGCCCATAGTTCCATTTCTGGTTCTGAGCAGCAACGGTACTACTATAGCACGCACATGTCACATGCATGTCAGGATAGTAAAAACGAAAACACTAGAAGATGCTACTCATAACTAAAACCACGCTTAATGGCCTGCCACGCACTGACATTTCGGACCTTCAACAGTACACACGACGCTGTAAATCATAGCTAGACTTCGTGTATACATACAAGTTAAAAGCGAGTAGGTTAACAGTGCAGCTTTTGCAGTATTTTACCTTCCTTGAGTTGTGGCAGCAGCCTTAATCTAACAGGGAGGGGTCTCTTTGGTGCGTGCAGGAAAGGCGAAAAAGCCACCGTCGCCGCAGGCTCACGCCGAACCGGACGACGCATCAGCAGCCAAGCATCAGGTCAGTGCAGTCGCAGCGCACATCTTCTTTTCCCCCAGGTTTTCAGGCTCTGACCGGAATGGCTAATGCGTGTGTTTTCAGATAGCCCCGAAGAGGAACGACGGCGACGCGCAGGTCACTAGCCACGGTGGCGGCCAGGAGGAGAAGACATGGTCGCGCCGGGCGCTGCCGCGGCGGCCAGAGCAGCAGGAGGCGAGGACGTACCCGGACCTGATCGACATCGCCGGGATGGACTACTCGCCGGCCGCCAGAAAGCCTCCCATCCACAACTGAATCCAGCGCGCGCGCACACGGATCGATCCACATATTGGAGCTGAGTACGTAGATTATTATAGTAGCACTAATACCAGTACGCGGCTGCTGGTTTATTTACTAGTTTGGCCTAGCTATTAGCTTATGGATCCTGATGGATGGAATAGAATAGTGCGGTACAGCTAATTGATCAAGTGGTAGACTGATACTACGATACTATGATGCTACGGGACAGAGACAGCGTCGCCGGAATCGCTGCGCCTTTTGTGAAGACTGGAGACGATCGTCCTACTGGCAGTACACACCAAAGCTTGGCGTTTCCCTCTCGAGTTTCCCGCGATTGTAGTAACATGCATGCATGCCCGTGTATCGGTGTATGTAAAATAGCACCGCCGTTTTGACCTCTAGTAATATATTACTACTCCGTGACTTTGCCGTGAGAATATGTGAGATCGACGCCTATTACATTTATGTGCATGTGACACATAGAACAGATTGATTAATATTACTGGAGTATGTTCCACTTAACGAGCTACTCCTAGCTAGACCGTTTGCGTTACGAGATGGTCGGTGGGAGATACTAGATTTTTAATGGAGTATGTTCCACTTAACGAGCTAGCTGGTTTGACAAATTAGTTAAGAGCTGGTCGATGGGTGAGGGACACGGCCGGCCAGGAGAGGTTCGTCACATGCAATGTCCAGTGTGTGCGACCTGTCCTCTACTGCGTGTGCATGAATTAGGCGGGCCGTCCTGGTGGTTAACGTTGTCGCAGCTGCGTAATGGGCGCGTGTTTAGTGCATGCAGTGGCGCCGCGCCGGTACTGTGGATGTGGATCCACCATGCATGGTCGATGCATGGCCGGACCTGGCACGCGTTACTGTCGCGCGCGACGGACGCGCCGTAGCTTTCCGGCGAGGCCAGGGCGAGACCGACCCTCCCCTCGACAGCAGGAGGGCCGGCAGCGTCCATGCACATGGGCGTGTTCCTGCGCCGCTGCACGGAGCCGAGATGGCGATCGATGTGGGCTACGGCGTGGGCTAGATCAGCGCGCGTACTCGCATGCATGGCACCGGCACTGCGTCGACGGTGGACTCGGTCGAACGACGGGTGCGGCGCCGGCCGGCAGGCTTGACTTGTTTTGCACTCAACGGAGCCAAGGCACCGTTATGGTTCTTGTCAGAATGTCAACCTTGTCATGCATGCATGCATGTCAGCGTACGCGCCGGCCGGCATGCCCATCCGTGCATGACTCGGTGACTCCATTAATGGCAGTCGTCTACTCCTACTACTCGTCAAGCGTTGGAACTTGGAGGCCACACCCATGTAAATAACCATACGTATAAAATAATGGGTTGAGGTAAACGGCACAGAGCATGTATACACTGATGCACGTACTGCAATCGATCGGATCTTACCACTGTGAAGTTTCTGAATCGTGATGTCCACGTTCACTTCTCCTCGCGACGGACAGAGGGAGTGGTTGTGCCTTCACTTCTCTTCTCCATCGGTCATGCACGCATGCGTTGGGATGTGTACTGTCCTAGCAGACCCACGTAGAAGATGCACGTAACAGTAGTACCGTTACGTTGTTCGGTTCTGACGAGATCGTTTTGTTTAGTGGTTTCTGTGTTTGATTTTGTATGTATGGCTCCATGCGTGCTGACAAGCACCTGACGCTCATAATGATATCGCCTGCCTGCGTGCCGCTCTCATCGATCGGAAACGAACAATGCTGCACACACATGGAACAAGACGGATGTATGCATGTTTTCACTGTCCACTGGAGTATTATAGGACCAGCCGATTATAGGACTCGGTCAAAAAACTTGAGGACCTCTTTTTTTTTTTTCCGAAATAACTTGAGGACCTCTCTTGAGCCAACGTAGCGCGCATCAGGAGTTCAGGACCAAACTGAACACAGAACTACTATTTACGTAGTACAAAGAAGGGTGTGAATTCTCAATCGACTGAAACTTAACCAAATCTCAGTCAAATGACATAACATGTATAAAAAAGAAAGAAAGAAATTACACAGATCTAAATGTAATATCCTATAAATATAGTATCGACTGAGACATAATCAAGTCTCAACCGACTGAGATTTAGGAAAATTGAATGAAAAGAATATATTCTGAGCAGGCCAGCCTCAGAAGAGAAAAAAACAATTCATCAATTAAATGTTTTCTTAATATTAAATCAGTCCGTTTAGAACGAAGGGGTCTAAGGTGTTGGATCGAAAATTAACGATCAAATTGTCGTCTTCTTTCTCCAACCGTCTTTCCCCATGTATTGTTCATCTTCTTTCTCTACTCTTCCATGACACATTTCTTCTCCTTTAACATATCACCGTCATCCACTCTAAAAATACACCTTTATTTTTCATGGACTTTCACCATCAGGGCAAAACAAAGAACCCAAGTATTTTTCTCGGACGTCTGGGGCCGGGAATTCTCACAAAACCAAGGCATATCATTGGAGCTTCTTCATCAACTTCATCTACACCAATTCCATCTACAACACCAACCCTCATCTCCATCTCCGACTGCATCCATGTGCAATTGATGTAGATTAATCTCTACAATCACCTCTCAATGTTAATTGTTGTTTAGTAGTTGATGCTTCATGTTTTGTTGGTGAAATGTTTTAATTTTCAGGTTTTATTCATACTTGTGGGTATCAAGCAAGTCCAACAGAATTGTTAAATTATCTTCTCTAAAATTGTTCGGGTATAGCAGAGAGAAAAAGTGGAGAATCCTTTTTTGCATCTCCTCAAGTAGATTACCTAAATCTCATTACCTATGAACTTTCCGTACACACTACTGTATGGAACCCACTCGTCAATGACTTCCAGGGCACAGCGGCACATGGCGTGAGATGGGAGGTGCACGACATGTACACGATGACACAACATGAGGTGCTGGGAAGAAAATTGGAGGATGTGGGTGCACTGGCCGACTGCAATGGAAGAGATGAATGGGGTAGTTTTAGGGGTGGCACGAGGATGAAGAAGGTGGAGTGAGGCAGTGTGTGTGTGGGGGTGGGGTGGGGGGGTGGGGGGCTAGGGAGCTGATGTTAGGGCATGGGTGTTGGATGGTGGTTGGACTGGGTGGTGACGACAAATGATTTGGCGGCATGGAAATTTCCCCGTCCATGCCGCTTCCTCCCCTACACCTTCTAGACTTTTACCAGTTCACTAGTTCATTTGTTATTTGGAGAGAAGACATAAATTTAATGCTTTACCTAATTTTTTTTGGGATAGTAAACCGTTTAGATTATCTGTTGGAGCACATTTTTGGGAATATTTTCTGTTTTTCGGTATAGCAAATGAGTTTATGTAATCTATTGAAGATGCTCTTGGCCCCATCATTTCTGACAACATTTTGTTATTGTAGCCAGTCCAGACAATGACGAGTTCGTTAGTCAAGCGGGTTTTTTATGCGTTTGTCTATCATGCCCTCCAATTATAGTTGATTCTTCATTGCTACATCGAGGATGCACAAGAGAAGCTAACACGAGGGGATCGTCATGGCATGGTGGCCTTAATGGAATCGTCCTGATCCAAGACTCTGAGGTATGTCTATGAGGGTGGGATGGAGTGGAACAAAACTTTAGGGTATCAAGGTGGTGCGGATTGACGTTGCCGGGAAGGGCCATCGGTGGTGAAAAATAGGCAAGGTAATGTGCCAAGACGACACTAACAGTAGGAACACTAGGACTACAATGGGCCCTGTGTGCTGGGGGGTTGCGTCAACTAATGGTTCTCTCCCTAGGGTAACACCAATTGTGTCTTGAGACCCTCCTTGACAACTAAGATAATAAAATATATATTATAAATGCATCGCTTATATATACGCTCAACATAGTTGTAGGGGTTACTTATTTGTACATGTTTAGATAAAAAAAGACATAGGTGATATTAATTATATAATTGTGTAGATTATGTAATTGCTAAGCTTTGCAATTTTTATATTGTTCTATTATCAGCTGGATTCGATGCAGGTTTGATCTGCAATTTTTGGTTATTAATGCTTTTAAGTTGTAAAAAACTAAAACCACATCTTTTCTACATTGTCCAGTCAAACTAAAGCTTTTAAGTTGTAAAACACTAAAACCACATTTCTCCAATCTTGTCCTCGCAAGGTAATTCATTTTTTAGAACTCTTCACCACATTAACATTTAACGTGAGTTCAGATTGCGGATTGAGTTCGCCGCACTTGGTTTAAAAGGTTAAGTAAGATAGAAAGTCATTATTGTTTGTTGTGATTCTAATTTGAGACTTTTAGATAATACTCCCTCTGTAAACTAATATAAGACCATTTAGAGTCTTATATTAGTTTACAGAGGGATCATTTAGTTAGACAAAGAAACTATGATGTAAGAAAGAGAATTTATGTTAGTTTTTAGTGCATGACATTTGAGATAACCTTTGTCAAACAATAATACATTGCAAATTATAAAAGATAAGCTCACATTATTCTGTATGTTGTATGTTAATGTTTAGCACTTAGATATGTATAGTGTGTTTAGACGCGTATGTCTTCATCGCGGTATTCTTAAGTATCTTGGTACAATGTTCTAGATCATACAATTAAGAAGCGTCCTTGTACAACGTTCTAGAGCATACAGTTCTAAGAAGTATCTTGGTAGAAATTTCCTAATTATATGGGCAACTCACTAGATAGTCCTAGTGTGAATATGGTCCTAGATTCATGTTTTTATTTCGATTCATTGTCTTTGGCACCGCTTGTTTTTGGGGACTGGTTCCAAGTCAAATGGTTCTAGTGACTAGGTGGGGAACATACAATCAATATGTATTTGAAAAATATTTTGTGTTTCCATTGCTTTGTTCATGTATTTTTTTCTTCTTCCAATTATCACATTTGTCTACCTAATTTATGATCATTTTTTATAATTTTTCTACTTAGGCCCTGTTCGGATCTCCGCTTCCTGAAATAGCTGGCTTCCCCGCTTCTACCTGGCTTCTAGCTTCTCGGTGGAGCAGCGACTCGTTCAGCTGTA